AAGATAGACCCTTAGGAGCTAGCCCCACTGTGTCTTCTGCAGGGCTAAGAACAAATAAACTGGTCCCTTCCTACTGAGATAGGATATTGATGGGGGTGGGGGGGGGGGGGAAAATCACTGGTGAAACTTGCCCTGTATGCTGCTCATTAGCGTACGAGTGCACAAGTGTTTAGATCAAGCAAAGAGATCAAAACCCATACTAGAGGGCACGTTCCCACTGATCCCAATGTGATCAGATAATGGAGGTGTCAACCAGGGATCCCGAGAACCACCAGACCACCACCAACCCTCCTGGGATCACCAGATTGATGCCAGCTCCTCCCCAAGCTTCCTTCGAAAGAGCCCGAATTCTCCCTGAAATGTGGGCTCCTTGCTCTTCTAAATAAATCTGTGCCTCAATATCTGACATGTGCTGAAGTTCTTTTCCATCATGTACAACAAGGACCCCATCATCCTGAATCAAGGGCCCCCCCCTCTCTAGGACCTTGTCATACCCTCTCTGGTGACACTACCAATGCTCGCCTTTCTTGGTACTCAAGCGTTGGGCATCCTGGATGTTTGCTGTAATACTCCAACTGCAGGAAAAGGACTAAGTTTCTAGCCTGGGCTTTGCCAGAGACTTGCCAAGTCCAGCTTTTGGTCAGGAGTGATGTGAACCGGAGAAGCTGGGAAACCAACCCCCCAAATCATGGCCAAGTGGCAGCCGAGCTGAAGAAGTCATATCCCCCCAGAGGGGGCAGGTGGGCTAGAAGGCAGGGGAGGGGGTTCTCAGGTTCCCCCGGGCGCCTTCTAATGGGCCACATATGGTAAGCGGGCTCAGATCTTGGTACCTTTGTATGGCTGGGTACAGGCCTTTCAGAAACTCCAACCCTTTATTATTTTTTCCTAAGCCTAAGATCACGTTGATGTCTCAGAGTTCAAGTCAAAATCCAAGATAACCTGTGGTGAGCCGCTTCTGCCGTTTCTGCAGATTATGGTCGCCATTACAAGATGACGCTGGCTCCGCTGTGGTCTGTGACAAACAACTCCTTATCTGGGAGAGTTGGCACATGATTTTTCACCACCCTGTGAGAAAGTTCCACGCGGCAGCTTTGCATTGGGGCTTGGGATGCTTTATTAAGGCTGGGAGGGGCATCCGGGAGTGAGAAGAAGAAATATCCAGGGCCTGAATAAACTGTTGAAAGAAGATTCTCGAGTTGCGTCTTCCTTGCGGGCAAGGGGTCGCGACAATAACCAATGTCAGAGCTTGAGGTCAGAGCCAGGGCCTGACAACAGGTGGCAGGAGAGTCAAAGAAGTCCCTGCAGCCCTAGTCGCAGGTCAATTCCAAGAAGGGTTGGCTAGATGCTGGGTCAGAATTCCTGGGTCCTGCTACCCACAGCCTTGCCCCAGTGAACTTTGAGCTACTGGCCCCTCAGCTCACCTTAAGGCCAGGCCCAGCCAGTCAGGCCTACCCACAGTGGAAGCAGCATCCTTTCTAGGCCTTTCTTCATACACACTCCACTTCCCTGCTCTTGCTCCTGCATTGCCCAGCCTAGTCCTCCCATGCCGTCTTTACAGTTCCTCTGCTTGTAGGGAGCTGAGCCAGCTCCAGGCTCAGCCTGTGTCCTACCTGAAGCCTTCCCAGCCGCAGCCACCCTCCCCTTCTGAGCAACCCGTACCATGGGCAATACAGTCCTGACGCACTCTGGGAGGACCCGTCTCCTCATCAGCTGGGCTCAAATCCTGGGCGACTTGAGGCTAGTGAGATCACCTGGGGAGGCTCATCTGTAATACCACCCACCTCATAAGGTTGAGCCAACATACACGCAGCACTTTAACACTGCCTGGCACAGTCAGCCCTAAGTGAATGTCAGCTATTATAACCAGCCTTCCATACCCATGGAGCCTACGCCTGCAAGTTCCATATTTATGGATTCAACAAATTATGGAACATACATATATGTATATATTTGGTGGGGGGGTACCAGGGATTGAACTCCAGGTCACTCAACCACTGAGCCGCATGCCCAGCCTTATTTTGTACTTTATTTAAAGACAGGGTCTCACTGAGTTGCTTAGTGCCTCGCCTTTGCTGAGGCTGGCTTTGAACTTGCCATCCTCTCGTCTCAGCCCCTGGAACCACCGAGATTACAGGCATGCACCACCGTGCCCAGGTGAAAATATTTAATTGCATGTGTACCTAACATTTTCCCCTTATACCCTAAATACAGCATAACAACCATTTACACAGCATTTATGTTGTACTAGGTATTATAAGTAATCTAGAGATGATTTAAAGTGTATGGGAAGGTTACATGGGTTACATGCTCATCCTATGTAAGGAATATTAGCATCCAAGGGTTTGGGTATGTGCTAGAACCCATCGCCTGTGGATATCAAGGGATACTGTTTTCTTTTTCTTACCTCAATTCCTCAAAAGGAAGAAAGAGGAGACTAATTTTAATCCGAAAGCCTTGTGCTGCAGTTCCTCATGCCTTTTCCAAGCCTGTCCCTCACAAACTCTTGCAAAATCTATACGTCTTAAAGTTACTATAAATTCACTCAATGAAAGTCACCCAGCGCCCTGTTAATTAGCCTATGCAATGTACTAGCATGTTTTTAGAATAAACAAAGGAAGAAACAATAGTTTAAGAATCCTGTGGTGTAGGGTACATTCCCAGCACTATCTACTGCTGGGAGACAGGAGGTAAGGTTGACCTAAATGTCCTCAGAGCAGACCCGAGACACCACCCCCACATACCTCCTACGCCCTCCTCCCCAAAGTTTCCTTTAAAAGAAGAGCCCGAGACCCCCAAAGTGCCACTTTTCCTCCCTGAATTCTGCTCCGAGAATTCGTATCCTCACATTTCACTGTCTCCTCTCCTTGCCCATACCCCCACCAGTCTCCTTACCTGGCCATGTCTGCTGCCTCCGCCACGTCCTCCAGCTGAAGCTCCTTGACTGCTCCTAGGAGGCCAGGCACACCTCCTCATATACCCGTTTCTTCCTCGGGCTACACAGTGGAGTCACCTGGTGAGCCTTAATAAGATCCCATTGCCCACCCGAAACCACAGCCAACCCAATCAGAATCACCGGGTGGGTGGTTTTAAAACTCCACCAGGTGATGCTAATATGCTGCCAGAGTTTAAGAACTTTACTTGCACATTCTGGAGGCTTCCTTCACCATAAGGATAGGGAGCAAATCTGTTTTGCTCACTATTGTGAGCTCAGCACCGACCACTCACCAGGCATCTGTTAGCACCAAGAAATGTTGGCTTAGTGGATGGAGAGGGACCCACTCTTGGCTCACCAGGCACTCCACTCTCTGGCCCAGCTGCAGCCTTCCCCCCACCCCCTCCACCCACCTTCCACCCACAGCATCCTGAAGGGCTCTGCTTTGTGTCCAGACACCGTTTTCTTACATTCTCCAGCCCCTCAGAGTTCTGTCAAAAGGCCCCCTGCCTCAGGGAATCTCCCCAATCCCCAACTGGGATACATCCCCTTCCTCCAGCTCCCAAAGCCCCCCAGACTTTCCCCTGGGTGCTGCACATCGTCCTGGAAATCAGTTGTCTCTCTCTCCTCCTGCAGGAGCCTGGGGACTCCCAGAGCACGAGGGCTTGCCTGCACCCAGCCCCAGTGCCTGCCACACACAGGATGCTCAGTCAATGATGGTTGGTTGAGTGATTTCTATTCTCAGATGTTTCCACCCATTCAGGGGACTTTGACCCAGGCCCAGCTGCTACCCTTAAAGGCTTTCTAATTCAGAGTTGATGGGACCTGACAGACTCTTTTGCAGAAACCTCCAGGGGGGCGCAAGAATGATGTCACTTATGAGGACTGTCAGACATTCTCTAAGGTGGGTGGGTGGGGAGTGCACCTGTGTGCGGATGCAGCCTGCACACAACATCACTTGGCCCCTTCTCTCTCCAGAATGGCAGAGGCAATCCCCCTGCCCCACCCTCCCTCACTGGGTGTTGCAGGTTGTGGCTCCCCTCCCCAGTATGTTGAAATCCTAAATCCTAGGACCTGGCCTCATTTGGAAATAGTCTGCAGATATAATTGAGGCTCACTGGATTATTCATTTGAAATTCAAATTTAAATTATTTCAAATTAATTTATTGGGTAATCCTGTATTTTTATTTGCCAAATTTGGAGACCCCAGTTGGGAAGAAAAAGAAAAGTGCTTTTGCAGGAAGGAGGGAATACAGGTCCAGGGGAACTCATAAGTCCTACTGTTGGGGGATGGCTACCTGTGGCCCAGGAAGCAGTGCTAACCCATAAGTGGGAACTGTCTGCCCCCCAGAAGGACCCATGGCATGAGCCTGCATTGGAGATGGAGGGCCCAAGCCAGCATAGTGGCCTTGGGGGAAACTGTGAAGTCCTTTTGGTACCTGGAATCCCATAATAATACGAGGAAGTGGGAAACAGGGAGAGGCAGAAATCTGGAGGTGTAGATGACCGAATCCAGGGCCACCTTGACACTCTAGGGCTTGTCAGAGCCCCATACTGGAAAGTCTGAAGCCAGGCTTGAGTAGGAGACTTGGGCCAATGGCCCTGGGGACCCCATAGACTCCTGGGAGGCCCTTGCTGGGAAAGAACATGGTTGTATTGAAGACAAAGTTTTTAAACATCACAGCTGGAATGGTGGTGTTGCAGGGGCTTCTGGGATCCACATCTGGGACAGCAGGCTAGAATGAGTGACTGGAGAGCCAAGGGATAGCACCAGCCACCCCGAAAGTCCCACACCAGGTGGGTCCCGTTCTTCCTGAGGCCTTGGATCAGGAATGTTCCCCCAAAACGTGGGCCTCACTGGGAGAAGCAGGTACTGGAGGCATACCCCCGAAGGGTATATCTTGTCCCCCACCCCTCTCAACAGAGCCAAGTGACCATGGACTGAAACCTCTGAAACTGTGAGCCAAAATAAATCTTTCCTGCTCTAAGTTAATTTTCTCAGGTGTTTTGTCACAGTGGTGAAAACCTGAAACACCCTCCCCACCAACACCACAGAAACTCTCTCAAGTCAGGCAAGAAAAGCCACTGTTTATTTACACCTTGGTCTGTACATTACAGTTCCCTGGAAGGTGCCCGCAGCTGAGATAGAGAGCAGCAGGAGCTCAGGACCTGGGACCCAGCCTTGGGGCCTCGCCCCACACCCTCCCTCTCTGGGGCCTGAAAGCAGAAGTCCCATCCCAGTCCTAAAGCTAAGGCCGTTTCCAGACCTGGACTCCTGAGGCAAACACCCAAGTGGAATCCCACAGAGTCAGAAGCTGTGAACCAAGCCCTGGAGCGTGAGGTCACCACGTAGTCTACTCTACCTGGTCTGCAAGAGACCCAGCCCCAGACGGGAAAAAGCTGGGAGGAGGGAAGGTGACGACGGGCTGAGAGTCCTCAGTGATGCCCTGTCCCATCCGGGTCCTGACATCAGTCTGGTATTTAATGGCACTCTGGTCTGAGCACCTTCGGCAGACTAGGAAGGGCTGGGCAGGTGTTAATACACAGGCAGGGACAGTGGCAAGCCTCTTCCTCTCCCTTGGGTCTGCAGCTGTCCTACACATTAGACACCGTGGCCCTAAACCCAGGCCCACTGCTGGGTACAGGGAACCACACAGCCAGGGCTTCCTCCAGGAGCAGCAGGTATCTGCTGCAGACCTGCAAGACTCATGGCACCTCTGCTGGGGCCAGTGGCCCAGGTTCAAGTACCCGCATGCTCACAGCAAGAGGGTGCGCAGGAGTTTGAAGTCGCTTTACATGAAGTTGCCCTTACCTGGGATTCAGGTTTCTAACTAACCGCAGGCTGGGGGCGGGACTCAGTGCCGGGCCCCCAGTGCTTAAGACAATGACAAAATATTCTGTACAAAGTCACCGAGTCTACAAGGCAGGGTAAGGCCGGGGGAGCCGAGGGGAGGCGGGCCTGGTCTTGGTGGGTAGTCAAAGTGCCTGGAAGCTCGGCCGCCCAGGGAGGAGGCCCGAGGTTACAAAGTAGGATGCATATGTCCACGTTTACAGGGCTGGGAAGGCAGCGACCACGAGAGTGTGTAGAAAAGGGGGCAGTGGGGACACAGGGAGAATCCCGTATAGTGGTGACAGGGAAGAAAAGGCACGAGGACAAAGACCCCAAACCATGCAGACAAAAACAGCCCGGGCAGCACAGCAAAGCAGGCGGTCCCAGCAGGATGCAGGGTGGCCCCGGGCACAGCAGCACTTAGACTGGCAGCAGAGGTGGCCTGGGATACTCTCCCCAGCTGGTGTCTCTGGGGCAGACAGCCCTACACTACAGTCACAACGGAGAGAGGAGGAGCATGCGGAACCCAGTGAGAACAGTGGCCTTGCCCTTCACCAGGGTCTTACTCATAGACACAAACTCTTCTGGAAAGCTGGTAACCTCTCAGATGGGCAGCCAGAGGATGGCAGAGGGCCTTAGGACCGTCCCATCAGGCAGGTGGGGCTGGCCCGTGGGAGCCCTCCTCAGCTGCCCATCACAGGTACACGTGTCAGGACCTTGAGGTCCCTAAGATCAGAGCTCCAAGTCACCAGGGAAGGGTACGGCCCCTCTAACTTCAGACTCCTTATGGGGCGGGCTGCCGTCTTAACAGCCTGAAGCACCAACTTACAGAGGGGACCTTGGGTCCCAAAGGGAGGGACGGGGAGGAGAGACCATGGAGGATGCTAGCACTGAATCCTTAAATGGCCCCTCTCCTCACTCAGCCCCCTACTGAGCCACCAGGGATCTACCAGGTGACCAAAGTCATTTCCTTGGCATGGTGACCACCCAATCCCATCTAGAGCCAGCTCTCACACATACCTGGAGCACACAGAGGGGACTAAATGCTCCCCACCTCACCAGGCCTTGCTGCAGGCTTTGGCAGGCTATGATGTCCCTCGCTGGGACAAAGGGCCCCCACCTGGGCCAGGAATCAGACTGGTCAGTGGACTAGCACCTGGAGCCTCCAAGGCCTGAGCCTGGGTCTGGTTTGGCTAACAATGGGAAGAGCCAGGCCTTCCCTCATCTGCCTGGTCAGAGCACAGGCAAAGCCCACGAAGCCAGGGTCCCTCCAGCTCAGCTGTGCAAGCCAGTGGCTCTCAGCCGACTCTGTTCTGCCTCCACTTAGTAAAGGGCCTGTGGTCAATACATCTCAACACGTGTCATCTCTGACTCAGGGGCAGAGACTCTGCTGCCCACCTAAGTCTGCTAATCTCCAAGCTGCTGGATCTACTGGTCCCGAGGCCATCTGGACTCCCATCCTGGGGCAAGGGCCACTTGATATCACCACAGGTAAAGCCACCATCCACCACCTCAGCAGAGGCCCTGGACCTGTCCTGGCTCAACAAGCCCAAAGGCCACTGCTACCGGTTTTCTCGACCTCTGGCCAACAAGCTTCTAGGACAAGGGGTCTCAGCCCTGAGCTACACACTGACATCACCTGAGGTCTTCAAACACGTAGGTACCACAATTCACAATAGCCAAACTATGGAACCAGCCTAGGCGTCCACTAACAGATGAACAGATACATAAAATGGGGTCTATATACACAATGGTGTTTTACTCAGCCATAAATAAAAATAAAATCGTGTCATTTGCAGGAAAATGGATGGAACTAGAGACCATTATGTTAAACGAAATAAGCCAAACTCAGGTCAAGGGTCATATGTTTTCTTCATATGTGGAAGCTAGAGAGGAAAAAGGAAAAGAAAGGTGTGGGGGAGGGGATCTCATGAAAACCAAATGGAGATCAGTAGGTGAAAGGGACCAGGGGGTGGGCGGGATATTGGTCAAATCAAATTGTTATATGGTGTGCATGATGAATATGTAACAACAAGTTCTTTTAAAATCTAGATGCCGGGGCCCCAGCAATTCAGTCTGGACCTCTGGGGAGTCAGCCCAGTCATCAGAGTTTCCTAATCTCTCCAGGTGACTGCAGTGCCCACTGCTAGAAGCCTCCAGAGGTCTGGAAGTTTCTGGAGCTTTGTGGTTTTTATAGATCAGAAATAAAGTCAAGAAAAAGGAATTCCCCTCTGATGATTCTCAAATAGATCTACCAGTTTAAAATAAAATAATCCAGGTCTAACTCCAGCTACTTCAAAGTTAAAATTTAAAAAAGGAAAACATTAGCTAATTTTGCTTGGCTTCCAATTGATGGCAAAGACAGCTCAATGTTACATAAAATGTGAATCTTCTCCAGAACGCCCCCGCCGCCCCCAAACAAAACCCTCTAAACTTTAGATAGATTACTATTGATCTGTCCTGTTGGTAGGCAGAAAAACAACCCTCACCCCAAACTCCCATAAAACACCCAGTTAAATTAGATGCACCTGGGTACTCCCAAATTCAGAGGCTTGGGTTAGGGGTCAGGACCAATTAAACCAGAATGGCCAGAGATCAGTTTTGGGTTTGTTTGGTTTTGGGTACTGGGGATTGAACCCAGGGCACTGCATGTGCTAGGCAAATGTTCTACCACTGTGCTATACCCCAGCCCTTTTGGGGATCAAAAAATTTTAAAGCTCATTTAAAATATGTCTTAAGTATTAACTGGAACATATATATTCTAAAAGTGAAAAATTATTTGGGTGTATCTGAAATTCAAATTTCTTCTTGGTATCAGGGATTGAACCCAGGGGGCACTCCACCACAGAGCCACATCCCCAGCCCTTTTTAGAGACAGGGTCTTGCTGAGTTGCTGAGGCTGGCTTTGAACTCATGATCCTCCTGCCTCAGCCTCCCAAACCTCTGGGATTACAGGTGGACCACTGTGCCTAGCCTGAAGTTCAAATCTAACTGGGCACATGTTTACCACCTAGCAATACAACAAGGGACAGCTGGGGTAGAACTCCCAGCTGGAAAATGAGCAAGGGAGGCAGAAAACACAGCAAGAGCAGGGCTGTGGAGCTGGGGTGTCGGCTCCCATCAGGCTAGCCTTCAGGATCAGAAGAGCATTTTAAAGACATACATGATTTGGGGGGTGGGGTGTGGGGGGCGGCAGTAGGGATTGAATCCAGGCCCTTGCACAAGCCCTCTACCACTGGACTACATTTCCAGCCCTCAAGCATACCTGACCTTAAAAAGCGGAGCTGACAGACAAGAAATGCATCCTGGCTGAAGAAAGTAAGGAGGTTGGATTTAATGGAATGAGTGTGTTACAGGGAATTCATTTCCTCATTTAAAAGTCCCTCTTTAAGAGGCCTCTCTGACACTGGCCCAGATCCAAAGGGTCTTTTAGACCTGGCTCTTTTTTTTTTTTTTGGCCTCTCAGGAAACCCATGCCAATGGCGCCCCCTACAAGGAGAGGCGAGGAGAATGGAGCAGGCTGTCTTTTCCCACCCCCTCTTCCCCTGGCAGAATTTCCTTCATAGCGGCTCTAACTCTGGCTTCTGTGGCCTTCTCTGGAATCTGCACTAATGCAGCTAAAGAACATATGCAATTTTACTTATTAAATACTCACCCCCATGGACCAGGGCCCTGACTTGGCCAGCCTCAGTGGCACTTCTTGCAATAGAAAATCCAGGCCAATGCCATGTCGCAACTTGTCATTTGCCTCTGGTTGTGGCCATTCCTTGCTACTGGCAAATTCTCAAGAGACCCACTCCTCAGGCCGCCTTTCTCTGCCTGTGGGTTCTCAGACCCTTGGGAGAGCCCAGTGTCCTGAGAACAGGGCCTTCTAGAGAAAATGCCTCAGCCAGTCTTCCCTGCATGGGTAATTCCAGAGTCCTGGGCAGAACCAGTGCAACCCCGTTATTTGCAGCATGAGACCAAACTGCACGTATTAAAAAGAAATCACAAAATCCAACAGAAGCAAAGTTGATTGGAATGGAATGAAGATCAGTCTTGGCTACAGCCCTGCCTCCAAACCTGGGGACACACCCAAGTCCCCCAGGTCCCCTCTTCATCCTCCGCTGCCCGCCTTCTCTGCATACACCCCTCTCTACCCTCCCCAACATGCCCGAACCTTCCTTTTCTCGCTAGATGTGCTGAAGAAAACAAGAAACTGCAGGGGAAGAAATAAGACCATCCATGTTTATATAGATTTGGGTAAAGGAAACGAATCACAAGCTATAGAAAATTCAGATAGACTGGAAAACTCGAAGGAAAGGATCACATCTACTCCCTGCTGCCTAGAACAAGAGATCACATTAAAAATCCATGGTGGAAATTCCCACCATGTGTCCAAAGCACGGAAGACAAAGGTTTCCCTGCAACTTTCCCACCTGTATGTCCCACCAGCGCAGTGTCTGTTCCCCTGGATGAAGACCAAAGAAGGAGGCCGCTCTAGCTCCCCAGGGGAGCCCAAGCTCGGATTCTGGAATCTATCCCGAGGCCTGCCCCTCACCAGGCCGCGAGGAGCCCACCAGTGACAAGCGACAGTCCGTCTGCGCGGCTGCGGGCAGCCCTGTTCCTCTGGGAATCCTTTCTTTGGTTGCCCAACCTGTTTTGACACCCCCACCTCCTAAGCTGCTGCTTTCCTTTTGATTTCTTCATGTTATACCCAAGTGAATAGTGCTTCTATTTCATTGTCTTAAAAACAAAACCAAACCATAAAGGGGAGGTAGGTGAGCAGGCGGGGAGGGCAGGGAGAAGCCAAGATGCCAAGAACCCCACCAATGAGGACGGCCTGTCCACAGCTCTGCGAACCCGAGTCCTCTGGACACCGTACACTGCCCCACAGAGGGCTGCCCGAGGGCTCCTCCACTGGGTCCCCCCAGATGCCCCTTCCTTCTCTTTGAGCTCAAATACCTGGGCTTGAAAGATGGCCAAAGAGGCTGGAAAGAGCAACCAAATTCCTGGAAAAGATCAGATTTTGCTCCTCGTCCCGGGAGGTGGGGCAGGGAGAGAAGAGCCTGTCTCCCTAGAGTATTTCTAATCCTTATCCCAGAGGTAGAATCATTTTATCCAGTAAGTAACACAAGTGTCCAGTTCTCGTTATCGCAGGAACTCCCATGGCAGACCTTGTTCTCTCCGCTGCCAGTACCCTCCGCCCCTTGCAAAGGGACCACAAAGTGCACACACAGCTCACTGTGCAGGTGTCACCAGCCACGATCCCACGCTCAGCCCACATATACACCAGTACACGGTACGCATGGTGGCCAGAGGTACATTTACAGTGAGTGTGGGCCCAGGCCCAGGCCCACATCCTGGGGCAGGCCTGCCCCTTGGTCCCCAGGTCCTAAGGCCGCTCTGCAGCCAGCCCCCTCCTCAGTGCTTGATCTCCAGGATGGAGGGGTTGTGGTCCAGGATGGCCAGGATAATCTTGTCCATGTACTGCCTCAGCCGGAAGTTGATCTCCTCCTGTTCTTTTAGAGCTTCCATTAGCTGAAGGGAGTGGGAAAGACAGGTCAGAGGCTAGGCCTAGATGGGGGTGTGGCAGAGCCCAGATCCCCAGGCTTGCAGTGAGCTAGTGTCTGATGACTGAGGGACCCAGGAGGCCCTGGGCAAGGCAAGACCCCACACTAACAACAGCACCTAGAGGCCAGGACAAGGGTCTTAGGCAATGTAAGTGGTCTGTGGAGGCACTGGGGATGGGTAATTTTTTTTTTTTTTTTTTTTTTTTTAAGGTTGACCACACTGGCCAAAGGCATTTATTTATTTTTACTTTGGGTATTGGGGATTGAACTCAGGGGCACTTGACCACTGAGCCACATCCTCAGCCCTATTTTGTATTTTATTTAGAGACAGAGTCTCGCTGAGTTGCTTAGGGCCTCACTGTTGCTGAGGCTGGCTTTGAACTCGAGATCCTCCTGCCTCAGCCTCCCGAGCCATTGGGATTACAGGCGTGTGCCACTGCGCCCACTAAAGACATATATGATCAAGGCTGACATTCACAGTTCCAGGGCACCAAAGGCTGAGGCTGCCAGCTGTTTCCTTTCCACCCGACTCCTGCCCTTGCCCTTCTCTGAGGCAATTCCTATTATGTCCTTTAGGGTACAGCCAAACTGTTGCCTCTGCCCTGGGGCTAGGGGTGCTGGTGACCAGTCAGGAGCTCCTTGAGGCCAGAGGTTGACCGTAAGCTCTGGGTCCCAGGAAGAGTGTAAGTTTCAGTGGCATGGGGTCTTAGGGTCATGTTAAAATGTGGCTAGGAGTTCTGGCATTTGTAGAAGAGTGGGCTTTGGTGCTAGACAGCAGGGTCCCTCTCCCACTGGAGCTGGGTGAGCCTGTGCCCTGGTCTCTTGGTCTATAATGGAGGTATTCATAAAGCCCCAGAGTTATCAGGTGAAATGAGAACATGCGCAAAAGCCGACGCTCGAGAAATGCCAGCTCCCTTGTCCTCCTGCCAAGGGCGGTGGGATCACAGCCTAACCTGGGTCTCCGTGAAGATGCGACCCACTGCACTTCTCCGGCAGAGCTCAGACTCATGCTCCACCCTGTCCTAAACCTGTGTTCCTTTCAGCAGAAACCAGAGCTGACCTGTTCCCCTGTGGCCACCTCCTGCACAGCTGTGCCTGTCTTTTGGGGTAGTGGTAGGTGGGGACACTCAGGGGCCAGGCCTGGGCAGCCTGGGGCTCATGGTCCTGGAGGGGGAGGGGGGGGGAGGGGCTAGGATCCAACCAAGATCAAGGGGACAGGGTACCTCATCTCGAGATGCTGTGTCAATTTCTGCAGCCAAAGACTGGGCTTTGGTCTGAGTAGCAAAGAGGTTCTTTGCTTCATAGAGGCTGAGGCTCAGGATCTGTCCGTTCAAGTCGTCATTCTGATCCCGCAGCTTATGGTTCTCCTACAGAGACAAGTGAAGACAACATCAACTCTAAGAGGCATCTGGAGTCTGCTGGAACCCCCTCTCTGTATCCACTCTCTCCCTACAGCCACAGGGTGCCTCCCTGTGGCCATGTGCTATGGCCACTTCAGGAGGCCTGATGAGGATGCAGCCTTTGCCAGGTGTCAGGGTGGAGGACCAGATCCTGGTCTAGGGCCTGGAGTCCCTTTGAGATCATGGGGTTGGAGGGGGAATTACTGCCCTGCCCAGAGGAGCCATGTTTCTTGGACAGGAGCATGCCTGGCCATTCCTTCCTCCCTGGGGCCCACTGGGAGCTCATCCTGCAACCTTGGCCCTTACTGAGGACAGCCCTGCTCTGGGGTCTGGGTGAACAGGAGCTCTGGAATTCTGCTGAGTGGCAAGTGCTCAGGGCACCATCCCTCTTGAAGGGGTCATCAGCTGACATCAGCCCTATGTGCCAGCTCTTGCCTAAAGATGCTTTAAGGCTTGCACTTGAGACCCGGGAGCCCCTCCTGGATGGGAGAAGGGCTAGGTTTAGGAGCACTGCCGGGGCACAGCTGCCAGCTCCTCTGCCTCAAGTGAAACAAACTCAAAGATGTGACTTGTAATCACAGACTCCCCCCACACAATGTCAGACTGGGCTTGGGGGACTTCAGTGGACATTACTCCCTTGAAGGGTCACTGCCCCTTCCTGATCCCACTCCCCCAACCATAACTGACGCCCAATGAAGGGACTGCTCCCAGGAGCACTGAAATGGAACCTCAGACTTGGTGTGTCCCGCTGGGAGAACCCAGCCCAGCCGGGCACTAAGCTGCAGCTGGACTGAGTCTCAGTCTCACCCCAAGCACCAAAGACAGGACAGTGATGTTGCTTTCTTTTTACAGATGGAAAGATCCTGAGATCCGTCAGATGTAGCCAGAGCCAAGTCACTTGACCTGAGCCATGAGCCAGGTGGCCAGTCCTGACGGAGGAGCAGGTGGGAGTGTGTGGGGTAGGAGGAGGGATTACCACCTTGGCTCCCTTGCCAGGGTCCCAGCACAGGAAGCCCATGCAGCTGCCCTGGGCACCTCATCCTGCTGGATGGCAGCTCCCAGGGCCCACCTGCTTTAGCCGCTTGACCTCGTGCTCCAGCTCCACCTCGCGGGCCCTGGCACTGAACTCGCCCAGGCCGGAGGAGCCGCGGCCCCTGCCCTGCCGCTCGCAGTCCAGCTTGTACATCTGCAGGTGCTCCAGCTCCTTGCGCAAGTCCTCGATGAGCTGCGGGTCGGGGAAGAGGGGCTGGTTGGTGGTAAGGGGGACGCTGGGGGGAGCCCTGGGGCCCTCTGGCAGGGACCCACCTCCTGCGTCGCCTCCCGCTCCTTCTGGAACTCCAGGCGGTTCTGCCGCAGCTTGTCCATCATGCGTTTGTACAGGTCCATCTCGTCCTTGAGCCGCAGGCTGGTGTCCTCCAGCCGGTCGGACATGCGCTGCCGCTCCTGGAGCAAGGAGACCAGTCATGGGAAGGGGGTGGCCAGAGTCGGGCACCTTCTGACCCAAACAAGGGTTTCTCAGAGCAAATGGGTAGGAGACCCCGCCCAGTGGGACAGAGCCCTCCAAGTCATGGCTTAGAGAACAGACAGGTCCCCTGTGATTCCAGAAACACAACTAAGAACACCTCAGGCCCAAATCCTCCAGGGAAGCTGAGTAGAGCTCGTACAGACCAGGTAGGCCCCAACAGAAGCTCTCTCACTCTTCAGACTATCATTCCTATCATATGGGGAATGTATACTCTATATTCATTGCAGAAAACACACGCCATTATTCACAGTTTGCTTTATTTTTTAAGGGGGGGGGAGTCTAGCTCTTTTTTTAAGAGTTTCACTAAGTAATAAACTCAAGGCCCCCTTTGGCCAACCTTGCTTCTCTGTGGACACAGCTTCTTGCCCAGAATGCTGCTCACCTCGTCCAGTTTCTCGGTTTGCGACTTGAGTCGCGTCACTGTCGTCCTGAGCTCGGTATTTTCCTCCTCTAATTGTTGCACCCTGAGGAAAGGAGAGAGTCATGAATTTCAGAAATCTGGAATTCAGATTGTCTCACAAGGAAATGTCAGTTTGAAGTGTTTTCTGCCTCCTGGAGGGAATCTATCAGAAACTAACTGAAAGAGAGAAAAGAATTTTTTTTTCCCCAAATGATAACAGTTTGTGTATCCCTGACCCAGAAACCCAGGAGGCTCCAAAACTTGAAGTTTTGGAGCACTGACATGATGCCACAGTGGGAAATTCCACACCACAGAACTTTGTTTCAGGCATAAATTTAAAATCTTGGGTATAATTATTTTCATGCCAGGCACGGTGGTGTGCAACTGTAATCGCAGCAACTCACGAGGCTGGGATAGGAGGATTGCAAGTTTGAGGTCAGCCTCAGCAACATACTGAGACTGTCTCAAAAGAAAAAAATTCAAAGAAAGGATGTGGTTCAGTGATAAGACACCTCAGTACCTCTAGTCATTTTCAGGCTGTGTGTTTGAGCTACATATGAAACATATATGGATTTCACATTCAGGCTTGGGTTTAGCCTCAAGATATCTTATTAGGTATATGTAAATATTCTAAAATCTGAAAAAACAAACAAACAAAAAACAAAACAAACAAAAAAAACCCCAGAAATCTGAAACACTCTGGTTCCAAGCATTTCCAGTAGGGTGCGCTCCACACACAGAGCCCTGAGCTTCTGCCAGCAGAAGCAAAATAGTAAAGATATCAAGTTGTCACTCTTATTTTTTTCAATAAAAGGAAACATTCATTTGTGAATAAGAACAAAAGACTCTTTTTGCATGCATCCTTTGAAGACTGAAATATCACAGAGGGGCTGTTCTCTGCTAGTTGGAGAGAAGATCTTCCTGGGGCTGGCTGTGACCAGGCCTGTGTCTGCAGTTTGAAGGCAATGACCATATTTGCCTTCCTTTCTGACTCCAGTGTATCACCAGGCCTCTTCCCTGAGTGCTCATGAGGCTGCCTCCTCCAGGCCTTGGTTCTGATGCAATCCTGTTAGTATCACAAAGGGCTGTCCTCAAGTGATTCCATGGACAGCCAGGTCCAACCACTGTCACTTCCTGGAGGGATGGTTTTCTGATCTCCACTTTCCCCTTCTGAGAGCTCTAGGAGAGGCCCCAAGGCCAGTGCCTGAGAGGAATTCAGACCCAGGGAAGGTGGCCTGGAGCTGGTAAAGGCAGGCAGGAAGCATGCCATAGACTCTGGGAACACGCCCACATTCTGTGAGTGAACAGTCCCCTGGAGTTGTCCAAAGGCCACCAGTGGGAAGGTAGCTGGGGAGGGCAGTGGCTCTCTGTATTTGTCCTCTGGCTCTCTGGCCAGTGCTCACACCGTCTTCTCCCATGTGTCCCATCCTCCTCTAAATGGCAAAAAGCAGGCTGAGTAAGTGCAGGGGCCCTCAAGGAGACCTCAGAAAATGGAAGCAAACAAATCCTAAAGCCCAAGTTCAAATTTGAAATCCACCCTGGTGACAAGGCTGGTCTCGGCACAGGTGTTCCAGGAAGTCTCCTCTAACTGCTCCAGGGCAGGTGACCCAGTTCCCTTGGGCCTGCCTGGCTGTAGGCGGGGGTGCCCGCCCATGAGCCTCAAGGAACCTCACATGGCCCAACTCCTAGCCACCTCCCCTGTCCAGGCTGGGTGTAGCCAACCTGGGAAGGCTCTGCTCAGAGACAGTCCCAGGGTCTGAGGGCATCAAGAGCATCAAGAAGACAATGTCTTCTCTGTTGGGACTGAAGGGACCCCAGCCTGTGGGGAAGGAGCCCTCTCTGTCCGCATGGCATGCAACAGCCTCCCTGGGGCTCTGGGAAGCAGACATGGGGGAATGACATGTCTAATGGGTGACCAATCAGTCTCATGGGCCAGTGCACCCCCTGCCCTATCTGCCTCAGGTTCTGACAGTGAAGCCACATGCACACTCAAGGTGCAGGAGCCCATACAAAACTGGGACCCTTGTTCTCTAATTCCCTTTGCCCAGGTTCAATCCACCCAAGTAGATTCAGGATCAGAGGCTTTGACAGCAGGGGAGCTCCAAGCTGAACATCAACCTAGCCTGGGACACCAGGTAGGAAGTTGGGTTTTTTAATGTATTTTTTAAAAACAATATTGCTAAACATTTGTATTGCTTCTTTTACCTAATATGAATGATGTTACTATGAAATTTCTTTTGCATACTCCTTAAAGAACAGGCCTGTGTGTGTGGGGGCTGGGGGCTGGGGATTGAACCCAGGGCTTTACACACACGAGGTAAGTACTCCACCACTGAGCTACATCCCCGGCCCTTTTTATTATTTATTTATTTATTTTGAGACAGGGTCTTCAAAGTTGCTGAGACTGGCCTTGAACTTGTGGATCTTCCTGCCTCAGCATTCCAAGTTGCTAGGATGCCAGGTGTGCACCCCGTGTCCAGCTTGCCCACGTGTGCTTAAGGCATCAGAAGCAGACCTCTTACAGCAGCAGCTCGGTTTTCCCGACTACACAGTGGGAGGCAGCAGAAGGCAGGGGCACCTGGTGTGGAGCAGCTCCAGCTCCGTGCTCTTCTCCCGCTCCAGCTTGGTGTAGGCTTCACGGTGTCGCCGGGCCTCCTCCTCCAGTGCCTGCTCGGCCATGGTCTCCTGATCCTTCACCATCTCCTCCAGCTCGTGCACCCTGTGTGGGGGAGGGGGCACAGCTCTAGGATGCGCCAGCTCCTGGGGCCTGAGTGGTCTCATCCCAACCCAGTTGTTCCTGACCCTGCCAAATCCCAACACACCCACCCAGGGAGGGTGGAGTGTCTGCTAGGCCTGCCAGCCAAGAAATAAATTAGGGACATCTAAAGGGAGGTGAGCCAGTCATATGAGCCAGGGGCAGACCTGGTGTGGGTTCAGAGGGGAGTGACACCACACCTGGGATGGCGGGATGCACAGGGCCGCACAGGGAGGAAGCGCCAGCCTGGTCTCAGCTGGACACTGTCTCGGGCCTCCCCTCCTCATTTTTGTTCTACTTTCCTGGGCAGTATCCCTCTGATCAGCAATTCAGGTTACTAGGCACCATGACTCCAAACACAGGCACATCTTGGGTAGTGGCCCACATGTCAGACCAAAGGGCCAGGTCTCCGCTGTGGATGTTATAACCCACTATGGTGGCGTAGGTGGTATCAGTCTAAGGTGTATATCACTGGCAATGGTCCCTCCACCAAGCTGACCTCAGGGTGTACACAAGGTAGAGGACCAGACCCTGGGGTATGTCTACCAAGCTTCCTACATCTGGGGAGGACTACCAAATGCAACATCTGCTTCGTCCCAGTCCGTGCTGGAAGCACTGAGCAATGCTCGGTGGCCTCCACCTGGACCCCTCCTGCCAGCCGCCCACACTGGCCTCTTCCTCTGCAGACCTTGATCCCAGGAAGGAGATGGGGCTCTGGTCACTATAAGCAGTGAGGGACAGCAGATCCAAGCTCTGCCCTGGGGCTTGTGTCCTGTCCTCAGGCCTACAGTCAAGGTCAAGCTCCTCTGCTCCTCAGAGCTGTAAGTTACCGCCATCAGCTTCACTCAGGGCCTCAGCCACAGGGACAGCCCCGCGGTCCCCAGAGCCAATGCTCTGGCCTCACCTGTGCACCAGCTGTGTGTTCTCCTGCTTCAGCTTGCTCTTTAGGTCCCCACTGGTCAGGCTGTCATTCTCCAGCTCTGTCACCTTCTTTTCTAGGAAGCTTACCTACAGCAGAGAGTAGGGATGGGCTAGAGAAGACCTTGGAGGCCACAGGACTGAGAACCTAGAAACTAAAGTTCATGACCAAGACCTTCAAATGGCAGTGCATGAGAAAAGTGGTCATGTTGAGTGAGGATGACACTGAGGGGCCCACGTGCCTGTCACCCCTACCCCTAGCTCTTGGACAAGGTACAGGGTCATCTGAGTCCCCAGCTGGCAGCCCAAAGTACTTCCCACTACCCCCGGGAGCATGCACACACTGACTCCCTTCCTTCTCCACCTGCCCAGGGCCCACCTTCTCCGTGATGTCATTGTCACAGGAGTCAATGCTGTCCCGGAACAGGTCCTCAGTGCTGCCGTTACTGCTGCTGAAGTTACTGTTGTGCATGAGCTGCCTGCAGGGGTGGGCGATGGATTGTGGCTGCAGGGGCCCTCCAGAGGTGGGGTCCAGACTCAGGCTACAGGCTGGGGGAACCTGCTGTACCCTAGCGGCCCCAACAAGGAGGCCACCCTCCCTCAGCCAGTGAGGGAGAGCATCGCCTGCTCTGATGCCGGTGGAGGGGCTGCTAGCAGCCATGGCCCATCGACAACTGCTCTTTCCCGATGCCTCTAAACCCTCTTCACAGCAGCATCCAGCCAACAGCTACCAAATGGCCAGGGCTGGCCTACGAGGCCCTTTTCTTCTGGTTAGAAAGCTGCAATAGAGGGAGCCTGGCTCCACAGGCCAGCACAGGGCCTGACCTCCTGCGGCTGCCCAGTCGGGCTCGGCCCCCTCCACCGAGATGGCTCCTGCCACCTCTCAGGGAACTCTGGAGGAAGGTGCAGGAGGGATCCAGCATGCTTTACTGGCACTGGGTTGAGGATGAGGCTGGAAATAGGTGGACATTTACAGAGGTCATCCTTAGAAAATTTCAGCTGCCATCCTCTAATGACATCCCCTGCCCTACTCCCCCACAGGCAGCAGCCAGGGTCTGTACCGAGAGGCCATCCCACCCAGAACTGAGCCAGAGCCTGGGTGCTGGCAGCTGATATCCTGGCATGGACCTGGGCCAGGCTACAGGAGCATGGCATAGGACCCCAGGGGCAGCAGGGCAGCTGTGCAGGACTCACTGCATCTCTGCCAGCAGGAACCCAGGGTCTCTTTTGTATGAAGGGCACGACAACTGTGGGGTCACTGTCTCAGGGCATCCCTACCAAGTCCACACAAGGCCGAGGCAGTCAAAAGTGTGACGACACTGACCGAAACCAAGAGGGGACCAAGGGAAGAATGAGGGCGAGGAAGGGCGTGCACTTCTTTCTGAGAAGCAGGCCTCTGGCTGCTCTGCTACAGGGCCCTGGGCACACTCACACCCCTCTACTCATTCAGCCACCCATAGGACACTGGCTGAGTCTGGGCTGCTGGCACAGAGACCTGGCCCCAGGCAGCAATAACATAGTTAAGGGGGACAGCTCTCAACTCATTGTCTCACAAGGGGTCCTTACCGTCCAAAGGCAGTGCTAGAGATTTTTCGGTTGGGGCTGGAGAGAGAGAGAGAAGAAACAGTCACTGACCAGAGGGGTTCTGGTCCACCTATTACAAGACAGCAACATGCAGAATGAGGCTTGACCCTCCACTAAAGGGATTTTGCACGTCCACTCGGTCCCGAGAAAAAACCGCTTGACTTCCCGTTGCAGGAAAAGCCCCCAGGATCAGCCTGCTCTGAGTGTCCTCAGATCTGCTAAGACAGAGTGGACTGCCCTGCCCAGGACTCCTGCCTCCAGGTGCCACCTGGCCTCCCGCCACCTCTGGGCTGCGGGCCTCACCTGTTGGCCTTCAGGTTTTTCAGCCGGGCTTCCAAGTCATTCAGCAAGTTGATCTTCTTGCAGCACTGAGAGCAGTACACATCCAGCAGCTCGCTGTTGTACGTGTGCCGCATCTTCCTCGGTGTCTGCCCCGCACTGATCCAGGGGAGGGAGGAAATCACCTTCTTAGCTGTCAGACTGTGCCCTGTCCCCGCTGCTGAGCTCACTTCATTTGGTTCCCAAGATTTATAAACTTTGCAGAGCAGGGCAGAGAGTGGGAATAAAGCAACCAAGCATCCCTTCACCAACAAGCTCAAAGAGAAGCGGCCGGTGAGATGCACCCACTTAATAAGCACAGCACACCAAGAGGGAATGTCAGAGGAAGTAATGACTCAGGTGGGGGGAAGCGATCATGGAAGGAGGTTCTAGAAGCAAGATGACACAGACACCCCTGTCAGGGCCTGTGGCCTTCCAGCTTAGTTAACTATTTCTTTGCTAAGATGGAAGGAGGGAGGAAGAACTCCAATCTCCCAATCGGGGTGCAAAGGCAGCACCCCCAAGCCCTAAGTCAGAGGGCAGGATGGTCATTTCAGGACTCTGCCTATCTGATCTCCTAGGATGAGGCTGGATTGGTTCCGCCATTTTTTTTCTGAGCCCCCAATATCACCCCAGACCAAGGAGCCACCTGGAAGACACCGAAGAACCCAGGTCCGAGTAGACGTTGGTCCTGGTCTCATCATCGGGGCAGGGGCTGCTGGGGGCACAGTCCACGTCATCCCCCTCCCCGTAGTCTTCAAACTGCTCCTCGTTGCTGATGAGTGAGGCGGTGGAGTGTGTGGAGAGGTCTGATGTCGTCATGGATGGAGTGTGGACCAGGGACCTGGGGGCCACAGCATCTATGTCAGTGAAGGACTGAGGGATCCCACCTACAGCTCCTAATGGGGGAGACAGGCCAGGCCTTAAGGAAGGCCACTCGGCACCACAGACAGTGAGAATCTCATCCAGTTTGCATCTTTTGACTTTGGGACCCCATCCCAAGGGGAACATCTCACCATAGAAACTTTCTGCAAGACACAATGCAAACTGAGTAGCAAAACATTGGTTACTACTTGAACAGTTTAACTCAATTAAATTATAATTATAGTTATTAAACTAGAACATACATTAGTGAATCAAACAAAGTAATAGAATATAAAATGGTTGTTGGAACTTTCATAAAAATAGGGGTTGGGTGGTGGCTCGGTGGTAGAGCACTATCCTAGCACATGCAAGGCCCTGGGTTCGATCCTTAGCACCACATAAAAATAAATTTTAAAAAAAGATATTGACAACTATAACTAAAAAATAAATATTTTATAATAAATTAATTAATTAAAAAAGAAACTTTCATAAAAATATTTGCAATAATATAAGAAAATGAATATAAATAAAGTTAGATACAAATTTTGAGACATTTTTAAAGACTGAGTACATAAGCTACATGCAGTGGCCCATGCCTGCAATCCCAGTGACTTGGGAGGCTGTGGCAGGAGGGTTGTTAAGTTCGAGGTCAGTCTCAGCTACTTAGTGAAGCTCTGTCTCAAAACAGAAAATAAAAGGGCTGGGGATGTAGCTTAAGTGGTAAAGTGCCCCCAGGTTCAATCCTCAGTATTCAATAAAAAGAAGAAGAAGACCTAGTATGTCAAAGGTCTATACAGAAGGAGGAAGCTTAGGAAATAAAAACACTGACATGGTAACAGGACTCGGGTTTAGGGTCGTTGCTTGTTTTTCCTCATTCTTGCTTTTCCCACCTTTTTCAAGTTTTGCTTAATTGGCATGCTCACCTTTTAAAATGAAATGATAGATAACAATAAGCTATTAGGTAAGAAGTCCAAAGATGTTTAATCAAAAAACAAAGCCAAAAAAAAAAAAAAAAAAAAACCCAAACCACAGGTCAGAGCCTCCAAGGGCGACCCACGGTATGTCCTGTGACATATCAGGGCCTGGCTGGCCCCACTGATCACCCAACAACAGAGAGTGGTCCAGCGCATCCCCTGTGAACATATCTCCCCTGTGGTCATTCTGTGGTAATTTCCCTACACCATCACTCAGACATCATGATTTCCCTGAGCTCCCTGAGCCTCCACTCAAAAATGGGGAACCTGAACTAGGGAAAGAATCTTGTAATCATGGGTTAAAGCAGCAATTCAAAAACCATACCCTTGAGGAACCCCAGTTTCTATCTAAGGAGCTGGGTTAATGATAAGGTGAGTAAAGATCCATTTACTGGCATCTCATCCCATTTTTTGTTTATTTATTCAAAAGCTGTCTTTGGGCTCCTCAGTGCTTCAGGTTGAATTAACCGCATTGCTCAGTTCTTTCCTTATAAATCTGACTGAAATGCTTGGCAGCCAGGGCTGGCTGGCCTCTTGGTCATTAGTCCCAGAAAACAATGGTGCCAAATGGCAGATGACCGGCTACAAGATTGATAGTTCTGTTGGCCTCAGCCATTTGTTCTGGGATGGACTGGTCACAGGTGTAGTTGATGTAGTCCCAGCCACCATGGACTCCTCTCAGTAGACAGACCACTTCAAGGGGGCCCCCGAGGGCATTGTGACTCTCTGAGCACTGGCGGGGGCGGGGGGGGGGGTAGTGTTAGGCTGAACCACCTTTTGGAAGGCCGAAAACTGAGGAAAAGCCAGCAATTTCGTGTGGTTTAGCCAATACTGGAACACCCCTCCCCTGCCCTCTCTTAAATATCTGAGTTGCCCTGTCACTTTCTTCCAATACCTGGGTCACCGCTCCTAATTGCTGTGGCCCCTCAGCCAGGTGGTGGCTGCATCTCATCACCCCCCAAGCACTGTATCCCTCCAGAGATTTCAGGAGAGCTGAAATGGAAGGGACTCCCTTCTGCCGATACCACACTAACAGATCAGGATCTGGCCGACCCCATCCACAACCTACTAACAAAGAGAGGTCAATGCATCACCTCTGATAAAGTCTTCCCTTTAGTTACGACGTAGTAATTTCTCTCTATTATTATCCTGGGAAGTCACTAGGTCTTTCCCCTCCTCCTGCAGTGCTGGGGATTGAACCCAGGGCCTGAGCATGCCAGGCAAGTGCTTTACCACTAAGCTATATCCCCAGCTCTACTTAGGTATTAATATTGTATTTTAAACAATTCTGATGAGAAAGAGTATGTGTCCCCTCTCATTAAGCAGTCATTAAAACTGACTTGGCACAGCTGCCTGAAATTCAGAACTCTTCCTACTGTCAGGCATCGAGGCTACTTAGAACTTCCCGTGGCGCAGAGCATGCAGGGAAGGAACGCCGGGGATGCGATCTTTAGCATCCCACGTGCTCTCTCTGGAAAGGCCTCTCAATAACTGCATTTCTGGGCCTAGAAGACACATACCGAGCTCCATCAGTTTTCACTCACTTGTCCTCTGGCAGAAACAGGCCCCCGAGACCCCGCTCCTTGGCCTCGGTGGGACTCCCGACAGACCCCTCCAGGCTCTGGGTGCTTTCCATGGGGCTGTCCAGATCTGACTCCAGGGAGCCCTCAACTGGGGCCAGTGTCATCATAGGCTCCTCCTCGTCCTCGGGAAAGATGCTGGGCTCCCTGGGGATGAGCTCGCCATCAGCAAAGGTGGAGCCGGGGACCTCAATGTCCTGGGAAAGACAGGGGGACAGAATGACTGGGGGCATGAGATCACTGGAACTTGGCGTGCCTCATCCAATTTCAAGGGCATCAACAGGGCCAGGGACAGTGGAGACTGCAGTTTGGGAGGGCCCAGACCCCAAGACCACAAGTGTGAGAATGCCTGGCAGGAAGATTAGTTTGGGGCTTCTCATACTGGACCACTCATGAGAGTCCAGTGAGGAGCTAGACCTCCCAGGGACAGCCATCCATGGAGAAGGGCCACAGCTAGGCTGGTCACATCACTCAGAACACCTGTTGGCATGCTGGAGCCCTCCTCACAAAGTCTGCACAGGAAGCCAAATGACAGAGCAGGCTCCTTGGTGATCTGCACTGGGGACATGTCCACACTGAACACTGAACGGCCTTCAAGACTACCCTGACCTCACAGAGTTTGATGCAGCACGGTAGAGGGAAGTCTGCACAGCTTGGGATCCACCCTTCATGATTCTGGGCATGTTACAGAAACTCAGTTCTCTTCTGTAAAGCAAGACCGGCAATGAAGTCTCACAGAACTACTGTGGCCACTGCATGAGGTCTTTTGTGTTAGCTTTTGGCACTCAGTAGACCCTTGATAAATAAATTCTGGCCAGAGGGCATGATGCCAGTCCAGGAGATAAGTGCCTGCCTTGGCCCTGCCACAGCCACGCTGGGGAGTGAGAACACCAGGCCTTTCACTTCTGAGCTCTGGGCCAGACCCGCCCATGCTGATCCAGGGCGGAGCACAGCCCTGCACAAGGTAGGTGTGCAATAAAGATCTGCCTAGGTCTTCTGCTGAGGTTACCTCCTAAGAAGAGCTTTGGCTTTGTCAGAGTGGACTCTCATACGAGGAGCAGCTCTCTGTGAGCCACTTCTAGGGATTACTTTGCTTCTGAGGAGGTAGGTACCTTCCAGGTGGCTCTGCTTTTACCTGTTCCCATGGGGATGCCAACCCCCAAGGTTCTACTGTGTGCTCCTAGGCAAGGGCTGACAGAGCGCTCTATTAAAAGTGTTTTCTCCTCATCCCAAGATTGCAAGATGGGTACCGGAAACAAGGGCTACAAAAAGTCTCCAGTAGTCTCAGATAAGCACAGGTTCCTGGAATCTGTGCAAACCACATGGAGAGAGACCTCCAGGGTGCTGAAACCCACCAGGAGACTCCTGAGCTGGGAATAGGCAGTGATTAATGAGCTTGGCTTCTGCCTGGACCATGACTTGGAGTGAGCACCAGATGGACCAATAAAGTCGGCACCAGCCACCCTGACTGTGGAGAGCAGGCGGCTGAGTATCAAAATCACCCACAATGTTCACAGGCTGTTTCCACCTGGATGTCATTCATCAGATTCCACATGGGTCTTAGACCCTAAGCAGGCTCATCATCAGCAAGCACAAAGAGCATCCTGATGGCCTCAAAAGGACACTGACGTTACTGAGCAACCACCTTGCTTCGGAGATGGCGCTGAATTTATATTTTATTCACTCGGTGTTTTGTGACAGCTATTCTGGACAGCTACTGCTATTCCATTTTACTGAGGCTGAAATTGTGGCATAGGGAGTAACTTCTCAGAGTCTTCTGGCCAGTAGGCAGAAGACCCCCTGCACCTGGCTGCCCAGCACTTAGTTCCATTTGCACTGTTGCCCCCACATTTCACAGATTTTCACACCTGGAAGTAACAACCAGGAGACTGCACTTTAGTTACTATTTCTGACTCCTGGGTGCTCTGCCAGATGTAGCAGCTTCCACATAGGCTCGGGGCCTGGGCTCATGGGGAGGACAGCTAGTGATCTGTGCCTTGCCCTCAAAGAACCTCAGACTTCCCCCTTCCTGGCCACAGTGTGCAAAATCAATGATAGCCAGGAAGGCTACTGTATGGCTCACAGGAGAGCGTTACCACAGCCCTAGGACTTGGCTTCCTCTCCCATTTCTGTAGGTGAAGGGTCTTGCCTGGGAAGCAGGGGCTGGGACCTGGCTGTGTGTCACTCCCCCCTGCCCCCCACACACATCTGGGGTCCTGAGGCAGAGGTGACCCACCTGGTTCCCAGAAGGCAAAAGTGTCAGAGGGACCAGGATCCATGCTTCTCAGGTGACCAGACTGGCCTATGGACAGCTTGGGTTTGGCCCAGTGGACAGTCCCACTTAAACACTAACTCATGGTGGCAGGTGGGGACAGCCAGTCCCCTCACCTAATGATGTTCCCCTCACTTCTGGCAGATGGTTCAAGCTCCTACCCAGGCAGAAAGAGTGACCTCAAGTGGCCTGTCTCAGTCCTAGGCCAGGCAGAGGAAGGGGCACTAATGCCCGGCCCTCCCCCAAAAGACCATCTCTTCCTCAGGCAGCTATTCTTCAACCTTTGATGAAGCAGAATCCACACCTGCCTGCCTTTCACCTTTCACAAAGTGTCCTCTATCTGTCATGGGGCCCTCTGAGGGCTCTGTGAGGGTTACAGGGAGAAACATGCCCAAATCCTGTCTCCACCTGATACTTTGAGAAGAGGAGGCTCAGAGAGGCGGGTGGCTGTGCTGAGACCTGAAGCCAGGCTCAGACAGGCTGAGTGCAGGTCCCTCACCTCCCCCCAGCTACACACACACTCACTCAAACCTTTTCTCTTAAATTAGCCATTCCCTCCATTAATACCTTTTCATTTAACCCACAAGTGTTTGCCCAAGGCAAGTGGAAATGATAAGTACCACTTCAAAACCATTTCTAGTAGTTTCCCCCTAAATTAAAATAGTATAAAGATAGCTATGAGAAAAGTCACTGTATACCTTGGTTAGTCTGGGACAGTACCGGTCTGTGCCTGTCCCAAGGCCTTTTGGTTTGGCAACTATCCTGAACAAAAGCAGCATTGGTCACTCTGGCTCAGTTCCTGGGCCCAGTTCCTTCTCCCACTGGGCTCAAGAGGAGAGCGGCCGCTCTGATGCCACGTACCTCAGGCAGAGAGGCAGAGCGAGGTCAGTGGTGGACGGTGATCGAAAGCAACCTCTTCTCCCCTCCCTGAGTTTCTCCTCATGGCTGGAAGAACTCAGAGTCATTTTAGAGCCCCTTCTGAGCCAGTGCCTCTTTTATGAGTTTTAAAGTTGCAGAGGGGAAAGAACAAACTTGTCCATATGAAATCCCCCTCCCAGGGGTCTAGGGGACATGGGGATGTGGGCTTCCTAAAATACCCTCCAGCCTGAGGATAACAGCTGTATAGAGCACCTGTTGTGAACACAAGAAGCCACCTCGCTATACACAGGAGAGCTCTGGGGAACGGGAAAGAGCAACAGATGAACCCTTACGGTGCTGAGGCGGTCCACTGGAGCAAGATGCCTGCGGCTTTCCCAGACTGACCCACGGCTGACTCTGACCATGGAGATCCAGGCCGCAGCAGCCCCAGGGTGCTGGAGTCCTTCCCTGAAAGGCTGGGGGTAGTGGGAAAGAGGACAGCAGCATCATGCTGACGGTCTCTGGCTCCAGCCCTGAGACTTGCTCTGGAGGGCTGGCAGGATCAGGGAGCGGCGAACAGATTCCCCAAGAGCATGAATTCCCAGGTACCCAGGTGTCTGAGCAAGGCAGGTGTCCAGGGTACCTTCTAAGACTCTGCCCCTCAGATCTCCCCTTTTCTGCCCTTGTCCCCCAGTGTGTGAAAAAGATATCCATGCAATTTCATCCAGTCACCAGTCACCATCCAGAGGCCCCCACATCAGGGACAGATCCGGGCTTGGCACTTAACAAGGACTTCTCAGAGGTTGCAGAGAAAGGATATATCTGATCTTTTGGGAGACTTTAGAAGGGACACAGTGACTTCAACTGGCAGCACAGGGCATCGTTGGAAGTCCACTCTGACAGGGATTGGAGCCCAGAGGCTGCCCTGGGCACAGAGCTCCCAGCCTCCCAGGGCACAGGGCCAGCTCTTGGGACCACCCAGGCTTACTTCCTTCCCCTGTAGAGGGCTCCCAGGAGTGAGGAAAGGCGGGGGGTTGGGGGGAGATCCAATGTGGGTGGAACTGGGTGAGCGCACAGTTCTGGAGCCTGGTAGACTGAGTGTCAGTCCTGGTGGCCCAGCCATTCATGGGCTGTGCGCCCCTGGGTCTTCCCCTTCAGAGCAGAAACTGTCACCTGTAGTTTAGAGGCTGCTATAAAGGGTATGCTTGACAATTTGCACAATCACCAGAGAACAGCTGTTGGAGCCCTAAGTCCTGGCCTGGCCTGTGTGTGTGACAGCAGCTAAGCTGTCCCCTGTGGTCCATGAATCCCAGCCTGGTCAGCTAGCAAGGCCCTGACAGACACGCAGCCAGGCCGGGAGGATTATTTGAGGCCAGGAGTTTCTGGAGAGAGTTCTGAGGCCCATGACAGGGGAAACAGGACCCAGCTGGCCGCTCTGGCAGGGCACCTCTGTGCCGCCAGCATCCCCAGCGGCACTGCCATCTTCCATTTTGCCACCCTGTCTCCAGATGGAGCTGGACAGTGCTGGCACCAGCTGGAAATGGAGTCTGGGGGCACACAGCTTGCCCGAGGGGCCCCTCTCCAGTCTCAAGAGCAGCATTCAGCCACCAGCAGACCCCAGAGTCACCCCCTCCTCTGTGGGAAGTTGGCAAGGGCTGAATTCAAAAGCTGTGAAAAAGCCAGGACTTAGCAACACATGTGTGAGCTGGGGGGGCATCCAAGTCTCAGAGTGGCCCATAACAGTCCCCGTCCCCATGGTCAGAGGGGGTATGTGGCCGGGCCTAAAAACAGCTTTATTTGGCATTAACTCTCACCTACTTAGTCTGTCTCCAAGTCACACACACCAGGACACTGCATTTTCCTGGTAGCTAAGGTACAGGGGACATTGACTGAGGGGCTATATTTCTACACTCCCTAAGAGAGAGAAGACGCTGAATGGTTAGCCGGGGGGATTCTGCGTCTGAACCCCGGTGATTAGCATCCTAGGGAGCACCTAGTAGGTGATTAAGAGTGTTGGCTGAACCAAGAAGCACGGGGGCAGGGTGAGGTGAGAAGGGTCCAACCACA